TCTCATTTATTTTGCAACTGTATCCGTAGTCGTTAATATTATTGTCTATATGATTGGTAATTCTATATCTATCTATCTTGAATTCAAGGTTTAGCCCACTTAATTGCTGAAATTTATCATTATGGTCCTCAGTGCGTTAAATTGCATGGTAGTAATTTGTTTAATAGTTATCCTTTAAAGGCATCGTTTAACAATGTTACATCTGAGATGCACGGCCCTACTTGTTAATCAGTGTCTGTGATATGGTGTAATATCGAAGTCCTAAACAAAAATGCGCTTCAAAATGATCAAAAAGTGCCCCAAAAAAGTATTTAAAAAAAAAAAAAATCTTTGAGTGACCGGTTTTACCATACTCGTTTCCCCCAATAGACAGTAGTGTTATGGAAACCGTTAGGAAAACGCAAAATTTGATTTCGATTACCAATCATAAATATCTTGATAATCAGACAGGCGATCGGTTTGTAAAAATCATGGAGTTCTTGACTGACCTAAAGATTTATACATGTACAGTAATTATCATTGCAGCATGAGCTAGATCCAGGATTTTGTTTCAGAATCTGAGAAAAAGATACCTAATCCCTTTAATAACACTGAAATTAAATGTTTCTTTGATATTGTTAATGAGCCGTTTTACGTCAGCTTTGATGGTATTACATCAGGTCCTGCAAAATATTGTTTTTTTTTAAATATGTAAAAAAAATTGAGCACGCATTTGTACAATAATCATCGTAAAATTCTTCGTAAAATATAACATACTCACGTACTCTGTCACAACTCTCTCCTTCTCCCGCTTCCTCTCTCTCTCTCTGTCGCTGTTTCCTCGTCCCCCTCTCTCTTTCATTCTCCTTCCACCTCTCTCCGCCTCACTCCCTTTCTCTCATTTGCCCTAATTTTCTTGCGTTCATCTCTACCCCCCCCCCCCCCTCCTCCAACCCTATTCTACCTGTTCACCTTTTATCATTATTCTTTCTCTCTTTCTCTCATCCAACATCTCCACCTCCTACCGTACTTTGTTCTTCTCATTTATCATTCTATTCTAGTCCCCATATTTTAATTACTCCATCTACAAATTCGACATGATCTACAACTCATTTAAAGCCCCACTGTCCTAATTTTAGCTACTTGCTCCCTCTATATTATAGAAAAATTCCCCAATCGGTGCCTGTTGGTCCCCCCATGATCCTCTTTTTCTTATGTTAGCTGAGAGCTGAGTTAATGAGATAGCCACATGTCAGTGACCTCGCTGTGTGGTCTAATCCCTTCTGGCCCAGCAGTGTTGACGGTCTTTAAGACATTGGTAATAAATAATCGCGCTGCTAACCAATGCGAACCTAATGCACTCAGAACATTATGAGAGTTTTAATTATTAACAATTTAGGATCATAATCATGATAATCAGGCCAGTAACCTGAATGGTATTAATCGGAAGTGTATACTTTAATTCTTGAGTAAACACTCCATGTTCTTGATTCTCCTTCAACAAGATGGCAACGGTTTCTTGTGCATTATGGAATGCGATGGAAAATAGCTCAGTTACTAGGCGCACGAAAAGACATTGTCATTGTGTGTTTGGGGAAGAGTTTGAAGGTGTGAGCCATTAGCTTTTATTTGGGGATTTTTTAGACTTGCACGTGGACATAGTGGACTGCTACGTGTGACGTCCTTTTAAAGCACTGACAGTTCCTTTAAAGGACGTCACAGTGCCTTGAAATGACGTCACACGCAGTAGTCCACTACGTCGACGTGCACATCTAACAGTCCCTATTATGAAGGAGGGGCAACTGGTGAAGGGGCGGGGGGGGGGGGATTCGCCACACAGATTTACGTTGTAGTGGTTTGGGGGAAAGGGAATCAAATGTAGCTCGATTGCAAAGTGTTTTGATGAATCAACTGTTTTGTTTGTTTAACCTGACTGCTATGAAAGCGTGTATGCTTTTAAGTAAGCAACTAGGGGACCGACGGCTTTAAGTCGTCTCAGAGGGACTTGATAATGAGGATCAAATGCCTTACCAAACGGCACTAGTGCATCGACTTGGTTTCGAACCCGTGACCTTTTACAACTCCATCGACTTTTATTAAATTCTCACCTCTGTCTTTAAGCACTTGAAGGTCAGGCCTTAGTGGCTTAGTTGTGTTTTTTTTTTACCTGACTGGTAAGAAAGCATAAATGCTTTTTAGTTTAGCAATCAGAGGACCGACAGCTTTAGGTCCTCTCCTAGGGACCGACGGCTTCAATTCGTCTCAGAGGGACCGAAGGGGGTCACGGGATACAGAGTGCATGATAAATTAACAGGAGCGTATCAATCATATTGAAATATCGCATAAAATACTCATTCGCTTCGCTTTCTCACACAAAAGGGACTTTTTATTTTTATTTTGTTAGGTTCCAATCTTCTATTTTCCAACCTCCCCCGTTAAGGCTCGTCCAGGTAAGACGCGACAAAACCCCATCGTTTTTTTTTATTTTTTAATGATGACGTCAATGATTACGCTTCACATTTTCTGTTCCTTCTAAGAAAGAGCTCATTTGTTAGTAACAACCATGACAACGCCTGTGCCAAAGTATTAAAAATCCCTCAAAATAAAAGGCAAACCCCAATTGCATATGGAACATTAACATACAAACATGCAATTAGTCGATTTTGTGAGAAAAAAAAACTTGAAACCATTGTATGCTTTCAGCACCGGATGTGAAGGAAAATGTATGACCTGTTTCCGTGTGAAAACGGTCAAGAAAAAACATCTGCCTTGTCGACGGAAAAAAGGGGGAAATGCGCATTTATCACATTTTAATGATTTTAATCGTTATATTGATTGATAGATGGTCACGTGACGTCCATTTGTATATCGTTCATCACAATTTCTGTTTGCCCTTAAAGGTCAGGTGACATCCAAATATAATTTAATTCCTGTTGGTGCACAGGGTTGTATACAGCTCAAGTTTTGTTATTCAAACATCTAAATATATTTCATAGATTAAAAAAAAATGTTTTCTCAGACCTGCTAAGCTCCACCTTAAAAAATGCTCCAAATCCCATTCATCTTGTGACATCATCTGTCAATCATTAGTGAGCTAACAAGAGACCGTAGTATGTAACTTACCCAGCTCAGCACATGCTCACAAAAGAATTGCATTCTTTCATACAATACCTCCACATTACCTTTCTTTTCCTGGTGATGCTACAGCACGAATGACATAGCAACTCCTATTTTGGTTGAAAATGATACGATAATGGCAAATTTCCCTTATCTTTGCTCTTCCTTTTGCCCATAACTCAGCTATTTCACATTTAATTTATCTACTGAGAATAAGTTTGACCGTTGTCATTTGTATGTACTGAAGACGTCGTGGTCTAGTTGTTACGTCACCGTACTGCGGATCACAAGGTTCGCGGTTCGAGTCCTACCGCCGCTCTGATGTCCTTTGGCAAGACAATAGACATCAATCTACATTTAACACTCTCCACCCATGTTCAGTGAATGGCTACCTGGTATAGGAATCCTTGAATGCTTTGAGCGCCTTAGGGCAGCTTGGCTAAAGCCAGTGTTTGTCAGACGCCTTGAACATCCTCTGGTATGGATATGTGCGCAATTTAATTATATCTATTACATTTTATGTACTTTAGGATAATTTATTTGAATTTTATTTCCATAATTACAGAAACACCTGGGGGGTGTTTCACTAAAGCCCTAAAATCGATCTAAAATCGATTTGATCGATTTTAAGGGCTTAAAATTGATTTCGATTTTAGCAGCAGTTTCACTAAATAAATAAAATCGATTTTAGCCTTAAAATCGATTTTAAGTTAGAGTGTGATCCATATCAATTTTAAATCAATTTTATCCTTATTCATTGCATTATTGATATGCTATGTTCAGCATTCATTGGTTTTAAAGGCGCAAGTGTCGGCTAGCTTCAATTTGAACATACATCTGAAAACGAAGAATTTTGTTCTTGGGGGAACAAATCTTTGTTCATAACCAATTTCTTTTTTAAATCATCATAGTTAGGCATTATCAATACAAAATGTGGCACTCTGGAGGGGGGGGGGGGCACAATGGCCCATTTTTTTCTTCAAAAATACATGGGCGGCCCGTTTTCCCCTTAACCCTATCTAGCCTGGGGGGGGGGGGGGAGGCCTTATCCAGCCGTTGGCACGGGAGGGGGCCCAATTCGTGAGACAATATTTAGCAGCGAAACAGCCGGCCAATAATTCGCTCAGTGGGGGGGGGGGGGGGGGGGAGGTAATGAACAATAAAAAAAAAATTATTGGGGGGGGGCCTCGAAAATTTGAAAAAAACGCACCCCCCCTCCCCCTTGAGTGCCAGGGGAGGAGGCCCATCTCAAAAAGAAAGGTACAGTTAACGTGTTCTTACACGTTTTTTTCTCCAGGGGAGGGGGCCCGGACCCCCCAGGCTATGCAGTTTCAAAATAACCCATGCTAGATAGGGTTTAAGTGCCCCTTTTACATCTGATTAACATCCCTTTTTGTTTATTACATGTGCACTTTTCCTTCATGTAGTTTGCCTCGTTTCACTTTGTTTTAACGTTCCTCTTGTTATTCCTAATAACTTTTTATGTTTTCTTCTTAGAAGTGACCCTTTTTCATTTTATGTGCCCCTTTTTCTATATTTTTTTAACCATATGCGCTTACAATTATGTGTCCTTATTTCGTTCATATTCTCTCTCTCTCTCTCATTAACATAAAACGACACTCCCATCACAAGGCTTTGCTTGCCGTAATTTTGTTTCTTCATAAACACCCCCCCCCCCCCTTCCCCCACAAAAAAAAATAATTAAAGAACAAAAATGAATAAATAAACACCAACTTATAACAATAACTCACCAGCATACAAACACACCATTCTTGAATCACATCATTGCCCTTTACCATCATGTAATTATTATCACCATGCGCTAGCGTACAATCTCATCTATTCATCCCCCCTTTTATCTTCTTAGAAGACAAAAAATACATACAAAATAAAATTAACAGAGATTTTAAAGTATAATCAATATGTTTATGCTTTAATGAATGAAATCTACATTTTGTAAATGATGAGCATAGCAAACACATTTAAGGGATACAATTACAATATTTTAAATGACACAAATAAAGGTGCTCCTATGAAAGTATCAGCCAGTTGTTAAAACTACTGCAGCTGATATCTGCCACTCTCTATTCGAGTTACCTTTATGGAGATTAAAAGAGTAATACTTGTCACAAATATTTCTGTTACTCATACGGTTGTTAATCTAAGGATGATATACATTGTCATGTAAGGTCACGCAGTCGGTGAGAATGTGGTTTCTTGATGCAATAGTTTGTCTATATGAAATTAATCATCAATTCTTTTCTATCAGCTTTGACAAAAAATTCTAAGGACAACATAAGTCAGAGTTAATATATTTCCTGCAGGAAAAATCTGTTTTCACTCAATCACAATGTTCTGTTGTTTATTTTGTATTTGTTGTTGTGCAATTGCTACAATAGCACTTTAAGCACCAACAGGTAATTATCGATACATAGTCATGCAAGAAATGCCTCTAGGAAGAGTTCCAAATAGGTCATCAAACTGCTGCTCAGATGAATTGCTAATTAAGAAATTCCAATTTGATATTTTAAGATTTATTGCCATGAACAAAATTAACTATGTAATGTGAGTTTGGTAACAATAACCTCCATGACAGAATAATAGCTTTTTATTTCTTCTCTTTTCTTCTGCAAGATTCTAAAATTCTGTTTAAAATATAGGAAATCTTGGAAGTATCATTAAAACGTTTACTTCCTTTAAAATATTTTATGTTAACATTTTTATCAAACCCAAAACCTCAAACTCAATGGCAAAATTTTAGTACCTTGACTAGAGCATTTTTAATAGCTTATAGGAATTAATTTGTAAATCTTATTTTACAAGTAGTGTTGGTTGTAAAAAGTGACCAGTCCATGATACCAAGATCTGTATCTCATTGTGGTTCCTCTTGCTTAAAGCTGGAAAAGGGAGCTTCTGTCTGTAGGCTGGCTGATGTTTCATAAGAAGCATAACGTTGCAGGTAATTCAGGCTCTGCAGTCTAGAATAGGAATTGAAAGTTATGTAATAAATGAATCAATTACTAAATACTAGTACAACTTTTCAATCAATCTTCATTTTTTGTATTTATGATTATTTCAAATACTTTAATTGCTAAATAAATAAAGTAGGAGAATAAAAAATAGTTACAGAAGATAAATGATTAATTGTTTGCTTTGGATAAAAAAAAAAAATCCTTTTATTACCATTTGTGTATGTTTTATCTAACAGAATGGGTAAGATGGGTATTAGACTTCTTACAAGGATTATGAAAAATGATAGATCAATTTTTGTAATTGATACTGCTTACCTTTTCAATTTGAAGAGATGGACAATAAATGTTCATTTGTCATGAACTAGCAGTACATGCAGATGCCATAGCTCTTTATTTTGCAACCTAGGATTTAAAACAGAGATACATATATTTGTTATGAGGAGAGCACATCTATTTTTCAGAAAAGTAATTGTCACAGTATCAAATGTGTTCAAAAGAACATAAGTACATTTTTATCAGTAATTACAACAGTAATTTACATGTATTCGGTCCAAGACATTGTTACCAACCAAATTGTAAGTTTTAGACATTTGGAAGATTGACTATGGAGTCTAATCTTGATCTCGGATACCCTGCTCTTAAACCAAACACTGTTGTACACAGATTCAATGAACATTCCCCTGTCGTGAGTAGAAGGCAAAGAGGTATAAAACAAACAGAGCAGCTTTCATCATACATAAATTCTCATTACAGTTTGTTCAATCACCTCTTTATTCATTAATTGCTGCCCTATTATTTGTACAATATTAATCAGGCTGGCTGATAAAGTAATTTATCTATGATTTAGACATGTCATAGTTGACTTCCCCCTCACATGGATTTATCAGTTTGCCATTGTACGTAGAAAATTTAATGAAAATCAAGATTTACACACCCAACAACAAATAAGTAATCTATTTATACATAGGTCTAGAAGAACCACACAAAAAAAATCTTACCTTTGTTTCATTATTGGTGTGCAAATTTTGCTAGTAAGAAGATCACTCCATGAGGCCGCTTAGCACAGTAGGATCTATAGCTGTACACCTAGATATTGAGCTTGAGTACATTCTGCATATCCGAACCCTTTCCTTGCGCCTGAGGCCAAGAAAGAATGAGAAGTCCAAGACTGTAGACACGGCAGAAGAGAACTTTTGAGTCTTGGACTAAAGCCAAGGTCTATTTGGTGGATATGACTTGTGGTCCACTCCATCTTTTAGTCCGACTCTGAAATAAAAAAAAAAAATAATAATAATTCTAGTATAGTCTAGAGCTTGGAGTTGGACTGTGTTAGGGACCCTAATACCAGGGACGGATCAGGGGGGGGGGGGGCACAGTTGGCATCCTAGATCTAGATCTATCAAGTAGTCTTTCATGTAGATCTAGACCTAGACTCTAGACTAAATCTACATCTAGAGTAGATCTAGACCTGGGTCTGACCGTAACACTCTAGGACCTCTAGATCTAGATATAGTTATAGATCTAGAGTCTAATTTTCTTTCATAAAATTTTACCTTCAAAACAATAATCCTATTGATTTTTAATAATTAGTCCCTAGGCCTAGCCCTAGGCCTAATAGATCTAGACCTAGAGTCTAGATCTATCATTTATAATTAGACCCTAGGCCTAGATCTAGACCTAGCTCTAGATCTATAGACTAGACTAGTCTAGATCTAGAGTCTAGACCTACTAGACTAGCCTCTAGACTAGACTATATTATCAGGATATCAACAAAAACAATAACAAGGCAATGCTAAAATAAATAAGGGATAGATCTAGGGCCTAGGCCTAGATCTAGGCCTAGATCTTGATTCTAAGCCCAAATCTACAACTAGTAGCATAACTAGTAAAACCAAAATACTACTGCAAGAATAAACTAGACTAATGAGTTTGTACCTGTCTGTCCTAACCGAATAATAAACGTCGTTAGGTAATTACTATTGAACCTGCATGAATTTATATGAATGGGACTGAAAAGGTTGAACCGGTGCAATTCGTCCACTTTGAGAGTGATATAAATTGATTTTATTTAAGATTTCGGTCAGTTACACAAAAATGAAATTGCATAATAATGAGAGGAACATTTTTCTTCTTCAAAATAACAGATTTGTTATCAACAGAATTGATATTTTCAAAGAAAAACAGATTTTACTTACTTTTCAAGGACTCTCACTGTAGTTAAGCAAGGCCATTTTGTGATCGATTTACCCCAAATTGACTAGCCTTGATTGCAGACACCTAAAAATCTATTTTAGCTTAAAATCGATTTGATGAAACAGCTCACATGTATCGGTTTTAAGCTAAAACTGATTCGGCCTTAAAATTGATTTTTAAAATCGAAATCGATTTTAGTTGATGAAACACCCCCCAGGAGTATTCTGCTCTATTTTTGTTGTCGTTGTTTTTGTCCCGTGTTAACATTAAAGTACCGACGTGTTAACGTCATACCGGTAACTGGGTCTAAACATCGGATCCTGTACATGAGGTTCACTGCGATATCATTCAAGCAACGGGCTGGACAGGGCGAAATCACTGTTTAGGGCTGGGCTGATCACCACACCATTGTGTAACACAAAATTGTTTGGAACCAGCAACCTTGACGACTTGGCCCGTATGACGTCACACTTCGGTACTCTGTAAGGACTGTTTTAGTTTAGTTTAATCTTGACCATTACTTGAAAATACAATTTTGGTTTTTTTTTCAGGACAGATGGTTTCTACATCATCTGCGATCATTTGCTAATTAACAATATCCTTTTTTAGTTTTGAAATAACAACGAAATTTCACTTGTAAGATGAGAGCGAACATTAAGCCTTTGACGTTCAAGTTTTTACAAGGCCTTACTAATGGAATAATATGATACCTCAAATAATGTATCATGCCGTTATGAATATGCTTGTTTTCACCCGTATTAATATGCGCTCTATAATACATAAATTCCCTGCATGTATCTCATGTAAACGTCTGAGTAAAAATCATGCATGCATGGCTATTTCTTTTGTTCTCTTCGTCTTCGATACCGGTTCAAATATCGATTATGACTTGTCGCTTTTTCAACTCTACCGAATCAAATCGATATGAATGAGGTTTTTAATTAATATTCCATCGTCCAAACAACGAGGTATGAAAATGTCAAATCCGCATGAGTAGGTGTCGTTTGTTAAAACACGCTTTAAATACAATTATACTGCACTTTTCGATGGCTATGTATATGGAGCACTCGAAAATAGATAGTAATTTGAAATGTTAAGTCGGGTGTCATAATAATATCAGCGTGATTTCTCAAAGAATTGTATGAAGCCTGTTTTCGCATATTTCGGACCAGGAGTAACCCATGTTAACGGGGTGATAAAATCTTATTACTAATATCGAATTCAGGGTATCATACTATACGTCGTAGTATATTGATATACCTCCATCGTATTTATTGACCAAACAATATTAACCGTGTACTATCAATGAGCCAGGGCTTTGAAAAAAATACCCTGAATTCGATATTAGTAATAAGATGTTATCACCCCGTTAACATGGGTTACTCCAGGTCCGAAATATACGATATGATGTTGTATTTCAAGGATATGATAGTTATGTAGATGTACACCATTTTCAAAGCCAACCCCTACACGCCATGGTGAGAACGAAGGAGAAAATGTTAGGAGTACAAGAAAGAGAGAGAGAGAGAGAGAGAGAGAGTAAGAAAGAAAGAGAGAGAGAGAGAGACATGGGGGAAAGAGGAGAGAGAGAAGGAAGAGTTAGTAACAGAGGGATGGAACGGGGAAGAGAGAGAGAGAGAGAGAGAGAGAGAGAAGAGAAGGGGGGTAGGGCAAAATACGGACTGAAAAAAAAACATAAAAAGAGATAGAAAAGGAATGTTTATAAAGAGAGAGAGATAGAGAGAGAGAGAGAATAGTATGGATTTAAATTAAATTTAGAGTAGAAAAAAATAATTAGAGAGACTGCAGGAGGGGTAAAAAAATAATTGTTAGGAAACACGAGAAGTGAGGAGACAGAGAGAGAGAGAGGGGGAGAGAGGTATAGAAACAGGGGGAATGTTATCAGCATGCAATGATCATAGACGGCCTATATTCTGATCTCAGCGCAGTTGCCATTTTAATACACCACAATCATCGTTGTAATTACTATTATCCCACGTCCATATATATACCATATTTATTTCCGACTCCACAGGAAAATGTCGTCAAACCTAACCGATAAGGGCAGCTGGTTTGAGGCTGAGGTCTTTTGTTTAGACGGGAAAGGGTCTGAATGCTGCCATTGCTCTAGTCGGTCGATATTTCCATAGCTCCATGAATATTTCATCAAGTTTTGAGCGATCGAATGACTTTTCAGAGCGCGCTTAACACATTCGTCTTCGCGACTTAACAGTTTGTGGCGAATTCAGAGGGGGCGCAGGGGCACGAGAGCCCCCCCCCCCCTCTCCTCCCCACCCCAGACCTCAGTCACAACAACGAGACCGACACCAGACCGACGCAAGACCGAACAAAAAGAGATCGGTTTGATGGTGCGACAGATACATTGTTCTGCTCCCTCTTCCCTTCAGTATGTTCAGCTACCCTCTATTTCCTAAATCCTAGACCCGCCACTACCTAAGACCGCTATAAGGTGATTTCCGGTTAAAGGATTTGAAGGAGGTGGGGAGGCATTGTAGAGACAATTATGATGTTATAACACATCTAATAAATCTATCCAAATTACTTGCTTAAGTCTCTAGCGGTGTTTATAAGCCCTACCCAACCGATAAAATCATAATGGTACATAAATGTTAATCATTGCAATGTCCTTAATGACATTATTCTCTTGATCTGACTCTGACTAAGGGTAGTGATACGAAAGAGGACCATTATCAAATGGTCATATCAAGACAGTAAGTGTTTCCATAGTTTTCATTTTTGGAACAGAATGAGGAAAAAGGGATATAATAATGTCGAACGAGACACATCTTTACAACTCTATTTATTTATAAATTAAAGCCTTTGTTCAATTCTAGATTTTTTTCCTTAAAATCCTGCCAGGTAGGTCTTTCCATTTTATACCTGGTTGGAGAGAGATTGTGGATAAAACGCCTTGTCCATAGGCATACGGACCGGGCAAAGATTCGAACCCTCAACCTTTTGATCTCGAATCAGGGGAAGGAAACACTACTCCACGATCAGAAAACTAGAAAAAACTCGGCAGTGGCTTTGTATAGTAGAGCTCCTTTAAATCATTATGATATATTTTTTTTATTCTTATCCACAACTTCGATACATTTTTCAAAACCTTTTTTGTAATATTGCCATGTGAAAATCCATCGTTATTTTTTATATTGCTTTTGTATTTTGATGTTTGTATTATGATGTAAATATCTGATTACTATTTAAAAACAGACAATATCAGCCTTGAGCTGCATGTCATGTTATTTTAAAGGCCGTCTGTACTAGTTTGGCCAGGGGGATTATAGCTCCCTGCAAAGTCACTGACAGGTGGTTAATTCATCAACTCAGCTCCCAATTAAGAAAAGAAAAAGAGGATCATGGGGGACCAATGATCACCGATTAAGCATTGTGTGTTATATAGAGGGTGCAAGTAGCTACAAGTATTGCAGTGGGGCTTTAAATAAACCAATTCACCAACAATTATTATATCTTGTTTTCTTCCCGTGCAGCTAACAGCGTCAATATCCTTCATCTTCGTCATGCTATCAATCATGTCCTTCTGTATGGAGACAGCCGAGTCCTTTAACGTCATCACCAACACCACCATGGGTGAGATCAGCGAGCCCATCGCAGCCCTGTTCATCCTTGAAGGCATCTGCGTGACCTTCTTCACCATCGAGCTCATCGTCCGGCTCGTCTTCTGCCCGAACAAAATCAAATTCTTCCTCGAAGCCCTCAACATCATCGACATCGTCGCCTGTATTCCGTTCTACGTTGATGCCGTCGTCAAGATCGCCGATACGCACCTGACAGGGCAGTGGAACGAGATCCTCGGCTTCATCAGGATCGTCCGTATCTTCCGTATCTTCAAGCTAGCGCGCCACCTAAGTGGTCTACAAATCCTGGTCCATACCTTGAAAGCGTCCGCAAAGGAGCTTGTGTTGTTGATAGTCTTCCTAGGTTTGGGCGTGCTGATATCATCAAGCCTGGTTTACTATGCAGAGCGGTGGGTGGCCGGTGACGACCAGAAGAATGACTTTCAGAACATACCGGTCGGGTTCTGGTGGGCCGTTGTCACGATGACGACGGTTGGGTACGGTGACCTGGTGCCGCGAACGTGGCTGGGGATGATCGTGGGTGCGATCACGGCCATCATCGGCGTGCTGACGCTTGCTCTGCCTGTTCCCGTCATCGTCAACAATTTCGCGTTGTACTACACGCACGCTCAGGCGAGATCGAAGCTACCGAAGAAGCGGAAGAGGATCTTGGTAGGTGCTGCAGACGCCCTGAAGACACAAGGCGCTATCTCATCGAGTATCAGCGGCTATTCCACACAGTCTACCACCGAGGATGATGATGCCAGTATCAGGAGCGATGACATGCCCTTGAAGACGGGTAAGAGTAGTTCAGGGGAGGTGGGGAGGGGGGGGGGGGTTCACAAAGCCTAAGATCGACTTTAAGTTGGACTTAACTATGGGAAGCCATAAATGCTACTGGTTGCTCTCACTATCGGTCTCTCAATTATAATATTTAGATAATAATTTTTCCTTCAATAATGAATTATTAAATAAGGTAAATTCTGTAAATTTTACACCACGATTTACACGTCCCTTCAGAGACCGATGCCAGTAAATGGTAAAAGCAAACAGTGGCATAAACTGCCTGCCATAGTTAGGTCCAACTTAAAGTCGATCTTAGTCTTTGTGAAACACTCCCCTGTATGGTGCTGGTGGAAGTTGGTAAAAGATCAATAGACTATTACGGAATGATGACACAGGATGGGTCATTTTTTCCTGTCACCTATAAATCTAAAATCCCATCAATACACTTTAAATATTACATGTATGATTTCAAATCTGATTTTTAAATATATATATATATCACAATGAAACGGCCCTTAAAACGTCAAGCTTATAACAATAAAATTACACTGGTCTTATTTCCCCGAAACTGATTTTTGTTTTCTTGTTCTTTCTTTCTTTTCTTTCAACTGTCGTTGACAAATTTGAAATTCTGATGACCAATATCATTTCCGCAAATTACAGATTCTGTGAAACTTCTTTTCTTGGCCTGTTGGCAAGACGAAAAAGAAGAAGAAGAAAAAGAAGAAGAACAAGAAGAACAAGAAGAACAAGAAGAACAAGAAGAACAAGAAGAACAAGAAGAACAAGAAGAACAAGAAGAACAAGAAGAACAAGAAAAAGAACAAGAAGAAGAAGATGAAGAAGAGTAGAAGAAGAAATGGAAAAAGAAGAAATAGAAGAAAGTTTCCAGCATTTAAACTTGTCTTAAATGTTATCATATTGTACACCATTCTAAACGAATGATGGCTCTTTGGTTGTGGTTCTTTTAGTATCCGGGTCGATAAGAAGAAGAAGAAAAAGAAAAAGAAGAAGAAGAAGAAATCGAAGCAGAAGAGGAAGAAGGAAGAAAAGAAAGTTTCGAGATTTTAAACTTGTATCATATTGAACACCATTCTTTTCCTGTCTACGAATAATCAATATTGATAATCATAATGATTAAAACGAATGATGGCTCTTTGGTTGTGGTTCTTTCAGTGTCCGGGTCGATCCAAGGTGGAGACATGAACAAGGACACCCCGACACACCTCTTCACCGCCGCCTCAGCTAAGGGGGAGAAGACAAGCATCAGTGTCACTTTCACCGACGAGTGCGCCGAGACGTTCGCCAGTCCCAAGAAGAGCCGGTCGCCCTCCCCGACGTCGCCATCGGGGAAGGAGTCGGCGGGAGAAGGAGGCAAGCCGAGGAGGATGGTGAAGAGGATGAGCCTCATGCCACAGGCGAGGAGAGAGAGCTTCATGCCCAACGGTAACAATGGTGAGAAAATAATGTTACGTTTGATTATAAGATGATGACGTGGATCCTGATCAAATGATTGGTTTGGATAATGACCGGTCATTATCCAATTCTAATGACCGGTCATTAGTAAAATAATGTTACAAAACATCATTTTATATTTGTATACTAATACTCGTTATAAAATGTAGGATATTGGAAACAATGTGAACTAATTAAGACCAGGGATATTTCCACCATAATTAGCCAGGAATGGCGTGAATGGGAGGACGTGGGACGGAAAGGGGTGGGGTGGAGGTGTAACAACTCACCCTTTACTTAGTTACCCTCTATCGGTAGTGGTATGAGTGTAATGTGGTAATTTTGCTGCTTTTCGGGGATGGCTGCCCTAGTCCTAGGGGTGTAGTTGTTCGAGGGGGTGGTTATTCCTAAGAATTGTTCATAGAGTGGTTGGTCAAAGGTGGTTGTCCTACAGGTACTAGTGTGATTATTGGACCATTACCTATCCAATGAAGTCCATGTACAGGGAAGTAGCATTGTGGAGGGGCGGGGCAAGGCGTCATGTGCCCCCTATAGAATGGCAAGTTGGGATAGGAAGAAGGGGACTTACTGCCCATTATGCCTCCTGGCACATAGGGCAGCAACAGAAGTCTTCCAACTCTTTGGATGGTTCCCTATGTGAGGTTCAGGTCTTTAATCTCCCCTTCCACAGTTCTTCGCCAAGTGTTTTTAGGACGTAAAAAGGAAATGATACAGTCTCTATACCTCCTTCCACACACCCCAATCGTTGGGCCTGATAATTCATCATGTCGGTACCCCTGCAATGGCTTGACCCAAGCTAAACTGTTGTCAATGTACCTTCTGTATATTTTAACCTATCACCTTTTCTTCTTCCACCAGCTCGAACACGATCACTACCAAACGGACGTCGACGATCACGGATGCCATCCATGCCGGAAGTAGAAACGTAACCGGAAGCATATTAGAGGTCAAGTCCTTCAAAACCTTTAACCTTTCACATGAAACTTAGCACCAAAGCGTAAGGGGCAATGGGAAGGAGGATTTGGTGTGCGAACACGTTAATGTCACTGGACAGAGTATGCCTAAACATCGCGTAGAGCCGGCAAGGGGAGGATCGGGGCCGATGATGTCGGTCCCAAACTGCTTTCAGCTGATCAACCGGCCCGTTAACCAGGATTAAGACCGAGTGGTAATGTGGGAAGTCCCCTGAAGTACCCAGCTATCGTGCATCCAGCCCATGTTTCGTGTGTTTATGGTACATGTATAGGATGTTGGGCAGCGCAATGTAATTTGGGGAGCAACGACTATTCATGCTTCTTATCAATTGCAATTCTTGTGGAGACGTGCTTAGTGATGGCTATATCTGAACTGGACAGAAATAACCGTCCGGAATGGGGAATTCTGCATTGAAACTGACGTTTTCCAACCTTCCTCCACAAAATACGTGCGGACAGACAGTTGAGCCAGACGGCGTCTCAGTGGAACAACAGTCGAAATAAGAGACTAACATTTCGGTCTATATCCGAACACATTTACGTTGCCCATTGAAATGAAAATGAATGCAGCCGACGGGAATTAACCCAAAACGTGGGCTTGAATTAGGCGCAGACTACACAGAAAATGAACGCAGCCGACGGGAATTAACCCAAAACGTTGGCTTGAATTTGGCGCAGACTACACAGGTTCAATATCACCATGGGAACGCATCTCTGGGGATTCGGAAGAAATCGATCAGTCGCAAAGCTTGGGCAACACCAACAGCTGTTGGTAAGACGGATCGAGTCAACTGTAACCATGGTTTCCGAGTCGGATGCCGATCTTTCCCGAGCTTAACGTGCCCCCCGAGGCAAAGAACCACGGTAAGACAACTACAAACATTTAGAAAATGCTGCTCGTATGAATTGTAACGAGTTATACACCAATCCTTTCAAAGTTAAAGGTGGTCGACGAGACATTTTGAATACGTTGCTCTTGGATCAATACGAATTACTACGAGTTGTTGATTTTTCCCGAGCCCTTCATGCTTACGTGCTCTAAAAGCTTGGCAAGACACTAACTTCGCGGTCATTACGATTTATTACGAGTAATGCCGAACGTTCCAGACCCGAAGATGCTACGAAGCGATGAGCCTTGCAGAAGATACGACGTGTATTAGGAACAGGCGCTCGGTGAATCAGCACGAATTATTACGAGCTACACCGATCTTTTCCGAGTTCCAGATGCTAATGAGTTGAGGAAGACATTACTAGTATTTTAATATATCGCTCATAGCTTAGACATAATATAACGAGTGTTGAGTTTTCACGAGTTTTGCCGATTTTTTCCCGAGCACTGTATGCATCCGGATTGAGATACAACCACTCATGGATTATCATGATTTGGCACGAGTTATACCGATCTTTCCCGAGCATCGAATGTTTTAGTTCGTGGATCATTAGTTATGATGCCGATCAATCCCGAGTTGTGTCTAGAGCCCTCTACGAGTATCGCCGAAGTATCTCGAAGAACAACTCCGAACACAAAATGGAAAATCGAAAAAGGGACTTCTGACAAGAATTAACCCCATGCGAACTACCATCGTCGGCTTGATATCGACATCAATAGGAAAGTTCGTGGACAGTTACACAAATAAATTGTGTGCAAACTTATTTTACCGACCACCTTCGAGTGCTGACTGTATAGATTAATAGATAAACATCAACAAACTGCATCTACCGAAAATAATATCGCTAGTGATATTCGTTGGTCTCGCAAGGTATGGTCAACAAGGGATCTAAAAGATCACGACTTTTCGTGCGCCGCTGCAACACTTCGTCAGGTGATAAAATATATTGTAAGCAAGCAAACGAATGTCACTAGCGATATTATTTTCGATACTATATCCGCAATGAGTAACATATTTAGCAAAACTGCATCTACTTGTATAACAATACAGTGGAAGTTGACAGTTCAGTCACATATATTTACATAAAGAGTTGAATTGCAAGGAGTGTTTATAGTGATAGTAAATTGATTATGGCATGAGTTGCTGATGAAAAAATAATGCCAAAAATTTTAATGAGCCAAATTGCAGTTGACAAGCGAAAGAAAAGAAAAAAATTAAATAAAAAACGTAATTATTTGTTCATGTATGAGAATTTGCATTTCATGATAAGCAACATGCATGGATAACCTAAACCATGTAAACATAACAAATAATGAAAAGGCTACCACCAGATCTTGATGTAGTAACATAATTTCTATTAAAAAAACCCAAAGCAAAACAAAGAGGGGGAAAATGAGAAAGAAAATGAGAGTTCTTCGTATCTAAGCTGTACCATTTAGTAAAATAATGTTTCAATCATGAATACAATAACTTTGTAACAATAACCAATCAGAATTCAAGGAAACAAAGTGAAATTACAAAAATATATATCAATTACTCTCTTTCCAAACTCACTGATGTTTAAATGGCGTATCTTGGGTTAATTCATTTCCAGTTAATTGATTGCGTCAGAATTAATAATCTAGGAAAATTATATTTTTCTCTAATATATCACAGAAATTCTCTCGATTATAATTCATTCTAATATGATGAGCATGACCTAAATGAATTATAGAAGCAAAAATGCTGCCACTATTGATATTTTACTTTATTTCATTTTTAGCACGCCACTGATTGCCTATAGAATCTTGTATTCTGCGTTGTTCTAAACGACATGGAAAGAATGCTATATTTTTTATTGTAAAAAGATGAGTTTAGAACTATGAAATATGCGTAAGGTGCGTGTACATAATAGATTGGACAAAATGAATATATCAACTATGTATATACTTGTAAGTACTCTTCTTATTTTTGCATATAAATTATCATGTAAATAGAATTATTGAACAGAATGACAAACTTTCTTTGTGATATATGTTTTTCTGCCTTCTCGAGTTCTGCTTGAAAATCATGGAGATAGGGATATGCAAGTAATTATCAATGTGTTACTATGGTAACTTAAGTGTGTTTGGAAAGATATTTTTTCCAGAAGAAATACTGAAATTTCCTCTTTCTTTTACTGTATATAATACAATAGTATGGATTTTTATAAAAAGGGCCCATATCCATATTATTAAAGGCATCGTTTACAATGTTAAATCTGAGATGTATGACCCTACGTGCAGGCGCGGATCCAGGATTTCTTAGGGGGGGGGGCCCAAATTTGAAATTATGCGAGCCAAATATTGGTACGTAATGGCGACCAACAGTGACGTAATGCGGGGGGGGGGGGTCGGTGCAAGGGGGGGGCGAGTTTCCCCCTCCCAGGCTTTGAAGTTTCATTATATTATTAGAGAAAGAAGACGATTCGTTGTACCGTTCTCGAAAATAATTCTCGTCTGAATTTAGTTTTTTTACGATTTATTAAATTATTAGAGAAAGAAGACGATTCGTTGTACCGTTCTCGACCCTTTATCCTCGTCTGATTTCAGTTCCCCCCCCCCCTCCCGCGCGAAGGGCGGAAGCTTTTACGTTTCATTAAATCATTAGAGAAAGAAAACGATTCGTTGTACAGTTTTCGACTCTTAATCCTCGTCTAAATTCAGTTCCTCCCCCTCCCCCTCCTGCGCGAAGCGCGGAAGCTTTGACGTTTTATTAAACTATTAAAGAAAGAAGACGATTCGTTGTACCGTTCTCGACCCTTTATCCTCGTCTGATTTCAGTTCCCCCCCCCCCCTTCCCGCGCGAAGCGCGGAAACTTCTACGTTGCATTAAATCATTAGAGAAAGAAGACGGTTCGTTGTACCGTTCTCGACTCTTAATCCTCGTCTGAATTCAGTCCCCCCCCCCCCCTCCCGCGCGAAGTGCGGAAGCTCTTAGGTTTCATTAAATCATTAGAGGAAGAAAACGATTCGTTGTACAGTTTTCGACTCTTAATCCTTGTCTAAAATTAGTCCCCTTCCCCCTCCCCCTCCCTCGCGAAGCGCGGAAGCTTTGACGTTTTATTAAACTATATATTAAAGAAAGAAGACGATTCGTTGTACCGTTCTCGACTCTGAATCCTCGTCTGAATTCAGTCCCACCCCCCCCCCTCCTCCCGCGCGAAGCGCGGAAGCTTTTATGTTTCATTAAATCATTAGAGAAAGAAAACGATTCGTTGTACAGTTTTCGACTCTTAATCCTTGTCTAAATTCAGCCCCCCTCCCCCTCCTGCGCGAAGCGCGGAAGCTATGACGTTTTATTAAACTATTAAAGAAAGAAGACGATTCGTTGTACCGTTCTCTATACTCTTAATCCTTGTCTGAATTTCAAAGATGTTCTTTGTCTGCTCCTTTTTCTTCCTACGTCCTCTTCCGATTGGAGGGGGGACCCCCCCCCCCCCCTGGCTACGCGCCTGCGGTCAGATAAACACATCTTGATACCTTGTCCGACCCCGCAAGCTCAGGGGTTTAAGGCAATAAATTACTATCAGATAAGCATTCAGGGGCCCGCCTTAGGGACCCTGGTGGGGTCGAGGCGGCGGAGCCGGCCCCAGAAGCTCAGGGGTTTTAGGCGTTTAATAAAGGTCAAATGAGCACATTTTTGTGTATACCTTATTATTTTGTGACACTGGCAAGTCACTATTTGGCGTGGGGTCCAGGGGGCGGAGCCCAAAAAAATCAGGGGTTTTAGGCATTAAATTACCGTCAGATGATCATCTAAGGGCCCGCCGTAGGGCCCTAGATGGAATCCAGGGGGCAAAGCTCAAGGGTTTCAGGCATTTAATCACGGTCAGATGAGCATATTTTGATGCCTCATTATTTTGTTAACACTGGCAGTTAACTATTCTCACTTTCTTGCTCTCATTCTATTTTATTTCTCTTTAATATACTTTTTCAAGAAAAGTGGGGGGGGGGGCTCGAGGCTCTCGATCTCCGCCGTACCTCGGGCCCTGACATGTACGAATTTCAAGAATAATATATTTTGCCTGGTTGTAAATTTAGGAATTTGTCATTTTTCAACAAACACATACAAACGTATAATTTACTAAAAAAGTGAGGAAAAATTTCGGAAATTATGTCATTTCAGCATTATTTGTAATCCACCGTTGTGGAATTAGAAATAAACCACGTTTGAATTTGATTTCCCCCAAGCCCCCCCCCCCCCTATCAGTACGCCAGTATCTCCTCTTTTCCTTTTTTCTTTCCCTTTCCTTCCTTCTCTCTTATTTTTTTTTGATGGGGGGGGGGGGGGGGTAAACAGCCTGGGAGGCAAGGCCCTTTCGGCCCCCGATCTCCTTCTTCCCCCTTTTCTTTTCTTCTTCCTCTTCTTTCTTTCCCTTTTTCCCCTTTTTCCCTTTCCCTTCTTTTCCTTTCTTCTCTTTTTTTTTTTTTTTTTTTTTTTTTGCGGGGGGGGGGGGGGCCAAGGCCCGCTCGGCCCCCCCCCTGGATCCGCGCCTGCCTACGTGTTATCAGTGCATTTGATTTGGTGTAATATTGAAGCCCTAAGAAAATTTCGCTTCAAAATGATCAAGAAGTGCCTCAAAGAAGTAAAACATCTTTGAGTGACCGGTTTTACCGTACTCATTTACCCAATTGTCTGTAGTGTTATAAAAACCATTAGGAAAACGAAATATGAAATGTCGATTTACCAATGTTTTGATGTTTGTGAAGGGTTTTAGGTCATGACTTCAATATGTAATACCGGTAAACAATATTTTAAATCGTATTCTCTTTGTGTCAAAGGATCGATAACAGGACATAGCTATTTTACAGATGTTCTCTTTTGAAACAGAGTACACCCTACGCGGATATACCCTCATAAATATAATCCCTGCCATCGTAAATTTGCCATCTACTATGAATTACAGTTTCTCCAAGTGTTTATGTCATTAAGTGAAGGAGTGGGATGGGTGTATTTTGTATTTTGATACCATGTACCTTAATATCAAATTTCATTAAAATCCGTCAAACATTTAATATAGGCAAAGCAGAAATGAGGAGGATGGAAATATTCGAAGGAAAAAAGCAGGCCAATTTGAAGGGGAAAAAAGAGAACAAATTGTTAGGGATATTGAGCAAGGAGGGGCGCAAAGTATTTTCAGCACGTTTTGGGAGCAAAAAATAAAAAATAAAAAAATCATAATTATAATAAATAAATAAATAAATATGTAAGTGAATAAGTAAACAAGTAAATTCATATACAAATAGATTATATAACAAGTGGCGACGCCACCAAATTGGCAGTGGTATACTTCACTTTTCAGATCAAGAAATGTGACGTACCTTCCATCTTCTGGTACTTGTAAATTATATCTAGTCTTTCATTTTAAATTCCATGCAATAATTGTTTTTGCTCTTGATAGAAATAATGGATTAGTCTGTAAGCATTCTCAGTCAAATTTTTGAAGCCCTTTACGCCATTTCAAATAACAAGCATGGCAATTCATTGTACAGAGGCCCGTTTCATAAAATTTGTTATCCATTATAACAACTGCTAAATTTCTATGACAAATTTGCCCTCAGCCAATCAAATGCCAGGATTTCGGTAGCTTATAACAGTAGCTTGTATTTGTAACTAATAACAACGTTGCAGCAAAATCATTTACGTTGTTTAAGTCTGCGTAGAAAAGGGGGAATACTATTAGGCATAATCACGTGCTTAGCTTCAATCAACCAATTAGAGAATCCGGATAATTTTAGCTTAGCCGCAGAGGGCGCGGGGGACTCGCGAGGTGGACGTATTTCATTTAAAAAAAAAATATATATTGTATCAACTTTTTATGGTCAAAATATAAATTTGGGGAAACTAAAATCAGTGAAGGGTGCATACAAATTACAAATGAA